AAAGCCCTMCCTTACCCTACCCTACCCTTACCCTACCCTTACCCTACCCTTACCCTTGCCCTTACCCTACCCTTACCCTTGCCCTTGCCCTTGCCCTACCCTAACTTGGTCACGCCTAGCATTGGCTGTTATTGGTAACTTAATTGCTTGTATGGATACAAACAAGATGTTTGGCGGCTCGATAGACGATTGTTGAGTTCTGGTTCCATTATTGATGGGTTTGAGTAGCAGTACCCAAAGATGCTCAACGACCAGCGCGCGGTCCAAGGTCTTGAGCATCTTGATGGCGATGGTCTGCGGCAGTACACTTAGACTGCGCAACACGCCGAAGGTCGACAGGTCAGGTCAAAGGACGGTGATCTGGTGCACCATCATGGTGGCAAATCTCCAAGTGCCTGCTGTGTTGAGGATGAGTTCCAGGTTGATTGTTCGTCCACTTCTTTCAAAGACATGCTCCTTGGTACAATCTATGAACATAGTAAAGGTTTGAATGAGCACAGAGACTCACCATCTGTACTAGTGCGTCACCCAACTGGTGATACAGAACCAATGTGCTCAACATGTGCCACGATCGCCGGTGCTGTCTTATCTGAAAATCTGCTCCATCTCCTTGTTCTTGAGACTCCTGTCTGGATCTTCTCATTGATCTCCCTGAGTCTGAGCGCCACTGGCGAGTCCTGGTAGAAAATTAGTTGGCTATAGTGGCGCCATCCGGCCTGGCAGTCAGAAGCTTAATCATCTCGGCCATGCGATCATCTAGCTGCTGGTTGCTGCTGTTGCCGCTGGTCTTGGGGGTCTGGTCGCTGTTGGCCTTGTGTGCCCCGGTCGCTCTCTGCCACCAGTTGTGGCTCAAGGTCTTTAAGCATAGAGCTTCTCGTTGGTCTTGGCGATTCTGGCCATTTGGGACCCAAATGCAAGGTCGCTCTCGAGACGCATGACGGTCTTCTCGGACTTGTCCAACTCTCGCTCATAATTCTTGATCTACTCAGCTGAGTTCGCGCGACTTTCTCTCGCTGTCCAGGTTAGTCCTTAAGTTTTAAGGATTCATTGATGGGGGATGACTCGACGAACTTGCTACTGTAGGTATGAAGAGAGCCAGAAGATGATTGAATGCCAGTCGGTCACCAATCCGATGACTATAATGCAGTTGATGATCTTGCCCATACTAATTGATTGATTGGTCGAGTCATGACGATACCATGGATCATCACCAACGGCATCCAATTCATGGCATCAACTGATCGTTTGGGTGGAAGAGGTCACATTACAGATACATATACAAAGCAAAATTGAATTTATATTATAAGTACTGATGGCAGTTGTATGCATGAATGAATTGGATAAAATCCTCATACAGCTGATCATCAAATAAATATCTATGTACAAGTAACAAAACATGTCAAGTGAACTTCAAAATGTGCTTGGGTGATGAAATTTGAATTTGAAATTCACGAGCGCTTTTTTTAACGGTCAAACCGTTGAAAATGTGGTTGTTAGTTAGACGTGGACCACATGAGACTGTGACACTTGGTCACTCACTTCTCATCTTATTGGCATTGCACTCACTCTCTCCTACTTGTACACATATACATACTTATGCTTATACATACAAATACATCAATAATAAACAACACATTGACATTTATCACTCACCACATTGTTCTGCCTTGATGTCTCACTACTGCTGATGAGTTACTGCTGAGTTTGAGTTATGATATCAATCAATTAGTGAGTACTAATAGACTTTTAATTGCATCACCATCTGCTCTTACTTACACTATCCTCCTTGAAGCCAGTTGTGGTCCTTGTCAAGTCAGTGTTCATCACCTCTGTCTCCATCTTGATAGACTGCCGTCGTGCTTCCACGTTGATCAAAGCCATGAACCTTTGTCACCATCTTGACAGACGTCCGCCGTGCTGCCACAGCCATGTTGCCCACTGCCCAGAACATCTGTCTCCAGCTAGTCTGATGGCCCCATTGTGACACAGCCATGCTGACCACCTCCATGCTGCCAAGTTGTCCACAGCCCAGAACCTCTGTCTCCAGCTAGACAGACTGCCAACAATGTGGCTCCGCCATGATACCCTGACGGCCGCCGTGTTGCCAGCCATCTTACATGGCCATGTTGACCACAGCCATGATCCTGCCGCCGTGCTAGCCATGACCCTGTCTCCATCTTGACTGACGGTCGCGGTGTTGCCAGCCAAGTTGACCACGCACGGCCATGTTGACCACAGCCCAGAACCTCTGTCTCCAACTTGACTGACTACCGGCGTGCTGCCACGTTGACCACAGCCCAGAACCTCTATCTCCATCTGTTCAGTCATCCGGATCCGCCATGTTGCCAAGTKGTCCAGAACCTCTGTCTCCAGCTAGACTGAAGTTGCAATGCTGCSCTGAGTGACCACCGCCTCCCATGCTGCCCTGAGTCCATGAACTCTGTCCAACTAGACAGACTCCGCCACGCTGACCGCCCATGCTGACCACGGCCATGTTGCCAAGTTGTCCATCGAGTTGGCCACAGCCCAGAACCTCTGACTCCATCTAGATTGCCACTGTGCTGCCACGTTGACCGCCTCCAAGCTGACCACCTTCATGCTGACCGCCTCCATGCTTCCATGATGGACAACCTCTGACTCCAACCAGACAGACAGCCATGCTGACAAGTGCGACGCCATGCTGCCAAGTTGTCCATCTCGAGTTGACCACAGTCCAGAACCTCTGTCTCCAACTGGACAGACGGCAACCGCGCCGCCATGTGCCATCAGTGACCAAAGCCTCTGTCTCCAACTAGATAGACCGCAGCCATCCTGCCAAGTTGAGGAATGATCATAATCTAAGCATTAATAAACGATGAAGACAGGAGTTGTGCAAGTGTGACTTGGAAGGAGAATAACAACAATTGGAAAAGTACAACTCAATGATGTCGCCTGGGCACGGTTGCTGCCCAACGGCTTTAAAAAAAATAAAGGCAGCACTTGTGACAATGAGAAGAAACTCTCAAAGTCAACAAAGTTGCTGCCATACCTGTCTCGACGCTGCCCAAAGTCTAATAGCGACAGGTGTAGTCCCCAGGCCGTGCCCACCCCTCTTACATGGTGGGCCCACCCGTCCCTCTTGCATGACAGGCCGACCCATCCCTCTTGCATGATGGGCCACGGCCACCTCCTTGCGGAGATGGCCAAATGGTGATGGGAGGAAAATGTTAGTAGTATTCGGTCCTGGAAAGGTCCACCTCGGCTTGGCCTGGCTTGGCTCGGCGGCATGGCACTCGGTCTGGCACGGCACTGGCACGGCACTGGATGACTTGGAGGGAATAGACCTCGCAACGACAGGTCATCGTGTGAATGAATCACAACGTCTCCACTGTGTCATCTGGGTTCGGGTGATGGATGTAGGACCACTGATTGGTGGGTTGGTAACTTGACTTTGATGTTGTTGTTGTTGGTTGTTGGTGGTTGATTGGTTTCAATCGCCAGCCGAGAGATATTTGGGTTATACCCATCACTCATCTGCTTGATCGACGGCAATATATATAGTGGTGAATTAGTGTTTGTTGAAAAGGTGAGGGACCGGAGGAGAAAGGACAGGCTCATCCACCTCATAATCTGGTGATGGTGGGTATTGGTATCTGATTCCTAGGTGGGGTTGGCCTGGGTCTGCCTGGACCGCTGGATGATTGAATGGTATAGGTGGTTGTGGCATCATCACTTGGTCTCCAGGTATTGGTCCGAGGTCATGTGGCGGTTGTTGGATGCCAATATCTTTCAGTGACATGGATGAGAAGCATCAAAGGTGATGATTGAATGGATGGTTAGTATTATTTTTTGACGGTAGCATGCAAGTTCATTTGATATATACTTACCATTTGGAATTGGTTCCTGTTGACCATTGGGATGATCTGGCAACTGGTTGTTCTCTGGTAAGTTTGTCCTCCCAACGAATAGAGTTTGATGGATCTCATTGTGTGGTGTATATGTTATCCTAATTGGATCATGGACTCCATCAGTGCGCACAAGAAGTGTATAAATCACCTTTTTAGAAGATTCCTCGCCCAATAACAATGTCCTTGGTCGACTATCGAATAAACTTAGAATTGGGTACATTTTGATGACTGCTGTTTTTTTGTCAAAGTCTATCCTTATTAGGGTGATGACTCTGTGATTTAAGTCGGCCAGCAACAAGTTCTTGGGTATGTGCCTGTTGAACAAAGGTCGAATGAGTTTGGCTGGATTCATTATTGATAGATTGATTGGTAGCGTTGGAAAACACTGTTGAGAAAGATATTCTTGTATAGCAGATAATGGTTTGGCAATAGCCGAAGTAAAGAGTCTATGATATTAATGATATTGATATGATAGATTGATTGATTGATTTATGAATCGTTGGTGAGTAGAGAGAGAATCAATGTTAGTATTATGAATTAGAATGATAGAATTATAATAACATAGTAATAATGTTATATATGTGTACATACATGTAGTAGAGTGATAAGGTAATGAGTGATGTCAATGCCCACTTGTCCAAGGACATTCACCGCAATGAGAGAGAGTCTGTGAGTGGGTTACTAGACACACACACTCACACACACCTCACACACACTTATAAAGACACATTTTGAATTAAATATTTAAATATATTTAATTAACAGATTGACCATTTAACGGTCCATTTGAATTTGTATCACTCAATACCATCTCAGTGTCATCATCAATGAAGTTCACGTTGATGAGTCTTGATTGAGGCTGAGTGATCGTTCCAACTAATACTATATGTGATCAGTGATGTACTATGAGCTTGCTGATGAGTGGCAAGTGAGCATTGTGATCACTCTATCTTGCGGGTACTGAGTGATTGAAACTCTGTCTTGAGACTAAATGGTTGTTCACCATCCTTGAGATTCGTCCTGTCCATGCTCAATGTCGATTAGCTCCTTCATGACATATATAGTCGAATGAACAAGTCAACTATCAATACCATCTCAGTGTCATCATCAATGAAGTTCACGTTGATGAGCCTTGATTGAGGCACGATCGTTCCAACTGGATACTCTGATGAATGAATGAATGAATGAATGAGCTTTGTTGTAAGAGACTGCTCTGATGTCCATTGTGATCTTGATGAGCTTGCATGTTATCGGTGTTCTGTCTGTTTGTCTGTCTCAATGTCTCTAACTGTCTGTCCACCTGTTTATGTATGTTTGATTAATCGATTGAATGAGGTCACAGCATCCAATATGGGCTGAGGGTTGATCCTATGTTCTATTTTGCTGGGACAGACTACTGATTGAATGACTGACTGACTGGGTAGGTGTTGTATGAATGGTCAATGATGATACATGTCGCTTGATTGGAGTTCGCCAGGTTTTGTCTTGATATGTTTGCCTGTAATCGATGTTGACCTAGCGTCTTGTTCATCAATCCCAACTGGCGATAGAGAACTAATGTGCTCGACCTTGATGTGACCGACCTGCCTGATTGTACTGACTGACTGACTAGCCATTCCAGCTCCTACACACCCTATTAGACAGGTTTGATCCAATGTTTTTAACGCGCTGCGTGAAACAATATTTGATGGACTGGTACCTGCTCGCAAGATTGTCTCTCTCACTGGCGCCATGTTGACTAAATGTGTTTGCCTTTGTGATGCGATACATGGTGCCTTTCCCGATTGATGTCTAGCCATTGTCCTCACTGATGTTGGTGGACCACCTTTCGTCACCAATGCTGTCTAATCATACAAAATGTTGCACAGTCCTAAAGCTTTGAGGATTCATTGATGGTGATGCGACTCTCGACTAACGATCTATGAGTGACCATCATCGAGTGGCAGTCAAACGAAGTTTGGCCACCCAATACCACGTTTGGATCTTGCTGTGTTCTTTGGGGAGCTCTTGCCCTTCAACTCTATTTAGAAAGTCTGCCACGCGCCAGGTTAGTCATCAATGAAACTCAATCAATCAATTGGATGAATGAATGTGTGTACATACTCTTCGTTTCTCTCGACAGTCCTTTGTTTGGTCCTGTCGTCGTTGGATCTTGAATTGAGGTCGATGTAGCAATTACTTGTCCACTTTGATGAATCTCTGAGTGTTGTCTTTGGGACGTTGCTGGAGCATTCCCCATGAAGAATTATGACTCGTGGAGAGGCGTCTATACCTGAGGTCAAGTGCTCGCCATGCTGCGTGTATCTTAGTCGAGACTCGTGACCGAGAAAGATGATCAATTAATTGGTGATCTAGGCTTTTGGGAGTGATAGTTAGAGAACCAGAACCGGGCGGACCGACTGTCCTCACCATCACAGACAGGACTGTTAATAGCATTGGCTACTGCATCAAGTAGCAGACGTTAGATTGAAGTCAAGCAGAGTTGACTCGTGACTCGATTGGATGAGTGGTGTCCATGTCCACTTGCCAATCTTAATTGATTGGTCGAGTCATGACGAGAAGACATATAATAAGTAGTGATGTATGAATGAATGAAGTGTTGTATAGGATACAATGATCACAAATAAATATCTTGGGAATGTTCCCCCACTGTTTTGGTTGACTTCAACACCATTGACCAATAAAACAAGCGAAGTTCAATGTGGGTGTAAATTTGAATTTGAAATTAGCGCCCATTGGAATCGAAATAACGGTTGAGTTCAAAATGGTCGTTGGTTAGATGTGGTCCACATGTCACTCGGACCCTGGGTCACCACTCATCTCATTGGTATTGTACTCACTCTCTCCTACTTGTACACATACACATATATCCATACATATATATATACATACTTATGCTTTTACTCATACTAATATATCAATAATAAACAACACATTGACATTATCACTCACCACTTTGTTCTGCCTTGTTGTCTCATTACTGCTGATGAGTTTGAGTTATGATATCAATCAATGAGTGAGTACTACTTGACTTCTAATTGCATCACCATCTGCTGCTTACTTACACTATCCTCTTCTTCTCTTCTCTCTTCTCCTCTGCCTTCTCCTTGACCTTGTGCCTTGAAGCCCGCTGTGTGGTCCTTGTCAAAGTGACTGTTCACCACCTGTATCTCAATCACGTCCGCCGTGCTGCCATGTTGCAATGAATCTCTGTCTCCATCTTGATAGACTGCCGTCGTGCTTCCACGTTGACCATGAACCTTTGTCACCATCTTGACAGACGTCCGCCGTGCTGCCACAGCCATATTGACCACAGCCCAGAACCTCTGTCTTCAACTAGATTGACAGACGCCATGTGTCTAGAGCCTCTGCCTCAAACTTGACTGCCGCCGTGCTGTTGACCACAGCCATGAACCACTGCCGCTGATGCCCAGAGTGTACCTCTGCCAACAAGCTGCCTGACCACCCGCCGCCATGCTGTCTGACCACTTCCCCTAACCTCTGCCGCCATGTTGCCTGAGTTGACATCTGCTGCCTGAGTCCATGAACCTGTGTCTCCAACTAGATAGACGACCGCCATGCTGCCACGTTGACCAACGCCATTATGACTCGGCCATGCTGACCGCGACCTGTCCACAGCCCAGAACCTCTGTCTCCAACGAAACAGACGGCAGGACTCCACCATGCTGCCTTGAGTGACCTTAGCCCTGAACCTCTGTCCCTCAATGAGTGAGTACTACCAATGATAGCACAGCTGCTCACCTATACTCTGCTTACTTACACCATTCTCTTCTCCCTTCTCTTCTGTCTTCCCTTGTGCCTTGAAGACCTCTGGGTAGTCCTTGTCAAGTTAGTGTCTCCAACTAGACAGACGGCCGCCTTTGTGACTCGGCCATGCTGACCACCGCCATGCTACCAAGTTGTCCACACCCCGAACCTCTGTCTCCATCTRAAGAGGTCGCCT